GCCAGCTGAACAGAAAGGAAACGTATAAGGAATTGTAAAAACTCTGCAGTAAGACAGCAATAACTGTATTTCTCATTGCCCCATCACAGGCTGCAGATTTAATCGAATTACTCATAAAGTTTATCTGCTGTTTCTTGAGACAAAATCAAGGCTCGTTTCAGCAGAAATTAGGCTTCATGGCCGTTAAACCCTGGAAAGGCTGACCGTAGTTCAGAAGAAACTTTATAACATTTTGGGCCTGATATGCAGCCTCTACTCATGGAAAACTCCAAATGATTTAAATGGGAATTGTGGGTGCTCAACACTTCTGAAAATCAGGACACTTTTTTCAAGTGTCTAAATGTAGACACTCAAGTTAAAAAATTGTGGTATTCTCTTTAATATATTTATATGCAAGATACATTTGAACGACATCTAGGCTCAAATGAAACACAAAAGAATATAGGCTAAATCTAGGTACTGCTAGGGGATTTTTTGCTCTCTCAGAGTTTGGCCAGCTGGAGCATTACTTCAGCATTATGAAGTAAGGGTCTCAACCAGGCTTGTGTATGCTTGCAAGCAATTGCATGTGCAATTAATTGTGGGTATAACATATGGGATTTGCACAACTACCTTTTCTGTGAGCAGAACAGGATCACAAATGGCAGACTGTGTGCTCACAGTTGTTTGTGGGCTTAAAACTGTAGGTGCAAAATGGAAGGCTGGTTTTCAAAATTTGGTTTGGAAAAGGTTTTTTCTCTAAGATATGGTTTTGGGTGGTCCTCTTGCATCAGATTGCTAAGGAGGGCAAAAGATTTGTGATCATGAGTTGTCCTCCTGGTGGTCTCTGGTATAGACCTGTAGCACTGGGGAAATGACTTCTGGACTCCAACTGGACAGCCAGATGAGACAGCCAAGGTCCACAGCCTCCTATATTTTATGTAGTATGGAAAGCATGGGTGCCAGAAGAACTGCAAATGTGTGAGGCAAAGCGCCCCTCACCAGCCCAACCTTCCCAGGGCCCTCAAGGGAGCCCTCCCCTCACCAACCTGACCCTCCTGGATTCCCTTCCTTTTCTCCCAACTCCTTAGTTTACCCTCCCTGCTGGTGAGCCCTCAGGTGATGGGTTCGTCCCACTTCCTGGATCTGCCCAGTCCCCGATAGGAGCTGCTGCTGAGTTTTTCACAGCCGGCAGGTGAAGGCCCAGCTGTTGGCATGCAGCACGATGCAGAGTGGAACCTGGGTGCTGGCAAATTGGTGAGGCAATTTGTTTAAATGGTGAAGTAACTAACCACTTGAAAGTTTAAGATGACTTTGCTTGGGAAGGTTGACTTTTCCTTCAGGGATGAGGCAGATAAATCCTTTGTCCTCTGAGTAATTTTCAGACATTATAAGCACATTACACCTATTAGGGGTCAGGAAGGGATTCACTCCTCCCCATTGTTTCTTTTTTCTTTTCATCCCTCTGAAGCATCAAAGATGGTCACAGCTGGAGATGGGACACTGGACAGAGTTGGCCAGTGCTCTTAGGTGCTTGGCTGGCTGGTTCTTGCTCACATGCTCAGGATCTAACTGATCGCCATATGTGGGGTCAGGAAGGAATTTTCCCCTAGGTCTGATTAATAGATTCATACATTTTAAGGCCAGAAGAGACCATTATGATTATGTAGTCTGTCCTTCTGTATACTACAGGCCACAGAACATCCCCAAAATAATTCTGAGAGCATGTCTTTTAGAAGAACATCCATTCTTGATTTAAAAAACTATCTGCGATGGAGAATCCACCACAACCCTTGGTACATTGTTCCAATGGTTAATTACTATTGCCATTAAAAATTTACACCTTATTTCCAGTCTGATTTTTGTCTAGTTCGAACTTCCATCCATTGGATGTGTTATGCCTTTCTCTGTTAGACAACTGAGCCCATTATGAAATATTTGTTCCCCATGTAGGTACTTATGGCTGTAATCAAGTCACCCCTTAATCTTCTCTTTGATAAGCTAGATAGACTGAGCTCCTTGAAGCTATTACCATAAGGCCTGTTTTCTAATCATTTAATCATTCTTGTGGCTCTTCTTTGAACCCGCTCCAATTTATCCACATCCTTCTTGAATTGTGGGCATTAATACTGGACACAATATTACTCTTAAGGGAATTCTGTGCCAAAAAATTAAAAATTATGTGCACAATATTTTAAAATTCTGCAAAAGTTTTATTTGTCAATAAATAAATGTGGCTCCAGCATGGCAGTGGGGAGCACAGGTCACTGGCTGCATTGAGATGGGAGATCACCCTAAAGTCTCCACCTCCCCCAGTACAGGGACTTGACAGTGAGGCTGCACCTGACCCTGACACAGTGCAAGGGCTGGGCCTGCCCCAGAAACACCCCGGGGTCCTGCCTCTCTGTGCCAGGTGTGGCTGGGCAGGCTCAGCCCAGCAGTATCCAAGTGTGGAGGGGCTTAGTATGGGGGGATTCAGGTGTGGGGTGAGAGGTATCTGGGTGGGGCAATCTGGGTGTGGGCAGCTCAGTGGGTCATCTGGATGCACCGGGGCTCATTGAGGGATTCCGGGTGCAGGGGCAATGGGACTCTGCAGGGAGTCCAGGTGATGGTGGTTGGGTTCAGCGGGGGTGGGGTCTGGGGGTGGGGAGATGGGGCTTGGCGGGGGAGCCTGGGTGTGGGGGCTCAGTGGGGGGGTCTGGGTGCTGGGGGAGTGGGGCTTGATGGGTGGGGGTCCAGGTGCAGCTGGTTGGGGCTCAGTGGGGTGGGGATCTGGGGGTGGGGGCCTTGTCAGAGGGGTCCAGGTGTAAGGGGGTAGGGCTTGTCAGGGTGAGGGTTCGATGGGCCTGCTTAATGGGGGAGCCCCAGCTGCTGCCGAGGGGACACAGCATGTCAGCTCCCACTTCCCCCCACAATTCCCCGATTCCCTTTTCTTCTCCATCCCCTTCCCCTCACTCCCACATTCCCCTCCCCCTGCCCTATTCCACCCCCCCCTTCCTTCCCCACTGCCTCTCCTCCGTATCCCCTTAGCCCCCTTCCCTCATTTCTCCCACCCCCTGTTACTCAGCCCCACTGCGGGCACTCGTTCCACAGAAAATAGGAAGGCTCCCAGCACACAGAAGGGGAGCACCACTGGCACTAGGAGCCAGGAGGCTGCATTCAGCTTCAGATTCAGTGGAGCGGAGCTGGGCAGCTCTGCGTTTGCAGAAATGGGGAGGGGGCAGAGGCACGTAACCCTGTGTGCCCCCTCATGCCTCAGCAATGTTTGGGGGGTAATCCTCCCCAAAAAAACTGCACACATGGTCGCCCCCCCCACCCTCCAGCGCAGCTTCCCTGTCATTTTCTGCAGGGAAATCTGTAGGGGAGGGGCTGTTTTCTGCGGGCGTGCAGAATCCCCCAAGGAGTAACAATATTCCAGCAGCGGGTGCACAAGTCTCAGATACAGATGTAAAGTAACCTCTCTGCTCTTACTCTTTCTCGAGATTCCCCTGTTTATCCATCCCAGGATTGCATTAGCTCTTTTGGCCACAGCGTCACACTGGGAGCTCACATTCAGCTGATTATCCAGTGGTCTTGGGGGGGTTTTCATCTGCCTTTGCAGCATGTTGTCCAAATTGCCTACCAGGTTCATCTGGGGACCTCTCAATCAATTTCCTGCCCTTGCACGGGCCTTGGGCATCAGTGCACCTTGGTCTCTCCTATTCTTTGCCTGTGGCACGCAATAGTCTCCTGAGGGCTATACCGTGAGCTAATTTCAGTTGTTGGGTTCAGTATGCGAGTGGTAGATGGTTTTGGTGGCCTGTGATATATTGGAGGACAGACTAGACGATCTGGTGGTCCCTTCTGATTTTAATTCTATGATTATTGCATCAACATTTCAAGAAACCATAGTTACTTTTATTGCTAGTCAAAATATAGGCTTCAGCATTAGTCAACATAGATCATCCAAAATGGTGGTCATGATGAGTCTTGTGGTGTGCGTTGTAGAAGGTGGCCTTGTGCATTCTGCCCCAGAAACTTTTGTACAAACGGCTCAGGATGTTTTGCTACTTACTTGCACTGTTTATCACTTGGTCTTTTAAATGCTCAATGTTTAAAACATTGTACTGTAAAATCACTCTGGATTCTGCACTGTATGTATGGCTTAGCAAAGCAGATCAGATTATACATTTGGAATTTTTTAGTCCACAGACTGACTTGGAAAAGTTCCTGAAAGTTTCTAAATGCTGGTTTAGTCTTGCAAATGCTGGTCCTGTGGGAATTGTGGGCTTCTGAAAAAGAAAACCCTTTAGAGTTATTTTGTGGCACATTCCAAACAATACATAGGATAGGAGTACAGAACTTTTCTGTATGATACACAATACTTGAATGATTTTCTTATAAAACTGTTCTTGCACAGCTCTTTCACATTTTGGTTTTATATCAATGTCTACATAGCGCACTTTATATACGTGCTTACACATATCTGAGAGAGGATAAATAGTCATAAAACAAGCAGTGGAATTCCACCTTAAAAGCTAAATTTGTAAATTTTCTGAGTTGCTGTCTTCACACACTTGGTGAATGTGTGCGCTTGTGTTTTCAGTCAGGCTTTGTTACTTCTGCTACTAACTTGTTGAAAAACTGGATAATACTCCAGGATCTCTTCCTCTGTTTGTCTACATTAGCACAGCTTTCCATTTTCTTGCTTTCAGAACAGTTTGGAATGTCTGCCAGGATGTTGTGGGTTATTACCTCAGCACCGAAATATCCTTCTTAAAGAAACTGACTAGGCATACAAAGCAATAGAGACAGAGAAAGGAACAGAAGCATTGTATCTACATGTGTGTAATAGCTACAAACATGTAACAATTTTAAGTAGTCTGGGTACTCATATACAATATATATTTTGAGGTTGGATCCTTTGACCAGCTCAACCATTGAACTGAAGTTAAACCATTATTATTTCAGAAAGCAAATTTCTACTTGAGTTTTTATTTATGTTTAAAGTGACCTTTAACTTTCAAATCTTTTATTTATAGTTTCATTGGAGGTTCTCCAAAGAAGAAATGCACAACAAACAAACAAAGAAATCTAACAAGGCTAAACTAAGTTCAAGGGAGAAACAAACAGCAGAAGAAAAACAGGAGAGTGAAGTTATAGAGAACACAAGAAATTTAGAAGCACAATTGTCAACAATTGAAAATGTTGGGAACTGCAAACCAGTCTTGAATGAACAACTGGATAGTATCGCAGACAAGACATCTGAGATGCATGAGGACAAAGACACATCTATCCATGGCAATGAGGAATCAGAAGAAAAATGGCATCCAAGTCATGATACTGATCAAAAAGAAGTGGAAGTGTGCTTGAGTCACAATGAGACATCGGACAACTGTGAGAACCAGATAACGCATGAAGGAAGCTGTGTTCTAACAACTGACAGTGGGGATGGAGACAATGGGGCTGGAGCCATGGATGCTTCCTGCGATTAATCACCTGCATCTCAAGATTACTGAAAGAGTTGCAGATCTTTTGCCAAACTAAAGGACAAGTTTTGCTAATCATCCTCACTAACTTAATTGCTTAATACAATTTTTAATTTGGCTTTGTAAATGCCCTATACAATTTTATTCTCTCCAATTAACATACACAAGCATCTTAAAGTTTCAACTAACTGTAGGGACCACTTTTGCTCCCACATAAGTTAATGGCAAAATTTCCATTGACTTTACTGAGATTAGGACTGGCTCTACTGTCCTTAGTTTTAAAGGTACAGATGAAATGTATTGTGATTACCAAGTTGGGAGTGAAAACATAGTCAGGCTTGTTCTGTGGCTCAAGAAAAACCGCTGATATTTAAACTGCTCTGTGCTGTCTTAACAAAAACAGGTTTGTATTCAGTATTTCATATTAGTTTAGGAGAAGCATTGTTGGTCAATTTCCTTATGTAATAATTTTATCAATGTATCATTGCTGAAACAATTATTGCACCATGTCGTTTTGTCATTGTTTTATGTTGTCAAGAAAATGGTATTTAGGCTTACGGAGGCTGGAATTGGGAAGTTTGATAAAGTGGCTGTAGCTGTATTTATCTCCATATCATATCTACTCATTGATATTCTCTTGAATTTAGTTTACTCTTGCAGATATATAAAGCAATAAACAGACCATGAATATTGTAGGTACATAAGGGGAACCTGATGGGGAAACAAACCTCTTGATGAATGTGTGTTGTGTGTTAAGCAGATGGCTCTAACATAATCCCTACGATTCCCTATTCTCTTATTTTGGTGTTCAGGATTTTTAGGTTGCTAATCAGCCCTTCGGCAATGCTTGCTGGGTCTTCAAGAAATAGAAAAGAAAATGAAAACTGCACGTAAAATGTAACTCATTAATTGTACATATTCACTAATAGTGGATACACTCACCATCTGCTAGCACTGCTATTATGTGACTTTTCATCATTTATCAACTGGAGTAGTGTGTGTCACAAGAAAGATGGTGGTTTTTTTTAATCAAATAGCTGTCAGGCAAATGTCAGTGAAAGCTACTGAATGACCCTGAAGAGTACAACCTGATGACTAAACCTTTCTTTTACAACAGATAACCATGTTTTTCAGCCGACATACAAACTTTATGATGTAAAATGGTCAACATTTTCATGTTTGGAGGCATATTAAAATTTTTACAGTAAAATGTACGTGTAACAATTTTTTAGATCATATTTGAATATACTCTTAAACAGTTTTAGTCTGCTTAAAAATGTAACATGTAGTAGCTTTTCTTTTCTTAATAAGCAATCCCCTTAGAGTCCCGGTTTAGAATTAGTTAGGCAGTCCTGTATGTTTTTTAAAAATACCTTCTATTTTTCATTTTCTGTAAACAAAGTAATTCCATAAACAATAAAGGTTTCTTGACACCTTAAATGACTGCTTCTTTGAGCAGCTAGTCCTGGAACCCACAAGAGGAGAGGCAATTCTTGATTTAGTCCTAAGTGGAGCATAGGATCTGGTCCAACAGGATATAGCTGAATATAGATGAACTGCTTGGTAATAGTAGCCATAACATAATCAAATGTAACATCCCTTTGGGGGTGGGAGACACCAAAGCAGCCCACCATGGTAGCATTTAGTTTCAGAAAGGGGAACTACACAGAAATGAGGAAGTTCGTTAAACAGAAATTAAAAGGTACTGTGCCAAAAGTGAAATCCCTACAAGCTGCATGGAAACTTTTTAAAGACACCATAATAGAAGCTTGATTTAAATGTATATCCCAAATTAAAAAACATAGTAAGAGGACCAGAAAAGTGCCACCGTGGCTAAACATCAAAGTAAAAGAAGCAGTTAGAGGCAAAGAGGCATCCTTTAAAAAGTGGGAGTTAAATCCTACTGAGGAAAATAGAAGAAAGCATAAACTCTGGCAAGTGAAGTGTAAAAATATAATTAGGAAGGCCAAAAAAGAATCTGAAGAACAGCTAGCCAAAGACTCAAAAAGTAATAGCAAAACATTTTTTAAGTACATCAGAAGCAGGAAGCCTGCTAAACAACCAGTGGGCCACTGGACAATCGAGATGCTAAAGGAGCACTCAAGGAAAATAAAGCCATTACAGAATAACTACATGAATTATTTGCATCGATCTTAACAGCTGAGGATGTGAGGGAGATTCCCAAACCTGAACCATTCTTTTTAGGTGACAAATCTGAGGAACTGTCTCAAATTGAGATGTCATTAGAGTTGGTTTTGGAACAAATTGATAAACTAAACAGTAATAAGTCACCAGGAGCAGATGATATTCACCCAAGAGTTTGGAAGGTACTCAAATATGAAATTGCAGAACTAACAGCTGTGGTATGTAACCTAACATTTAAAATCAGCTTCTGTACCAGATGACTAGAAATTAGTTAATGTGATGCCAATTTTAAAAAGCTCCAGAGGTGATCCCGGTAATTACAGGCCAGTAAGCCTAACTTCAGTACCAGGCAAATTGGTTGAAACTATAGTGAAGAACAGAATTATCAGACACATAGATGAACACAATTTGTTGGGGAAGAGTCAACATGGTTTTAGTAAAGGAAAAGCATGCTTCACCAATGTACTAGAATTCTTTGAGGGGTCAACAATCATGTGGATAAGGGCGATTCAATGGATATAGTGTACTTAGATTTTCAGAAAGACTTTGACAAGGTCCCTCACCAAATGCTCTTAAGTAAAGTAAGATGGGAAGGTCCTCTCATGGATCACTAACTGGTTAAAAAATAGGAAACAAAGGGTAGGAATAAATGGTCAGTTTCAGAATGGAGAGAGGTAAATAATGGTGTCCCCCAGGGGTCTGTACTGGGACCAATACTGTTCCACATATTCATGGAAAAAGGTAAACAGTGAGGTTGCAAAATTTGCAGATGATACAAAACTACTGAAAAGCGACAAAGTGTCCAGTGGCACCTTATAGACTAACAGATGTATTGGAGCATAAGCTTCCGTGGGTGAATACCCACTTTGTCAGACATATATAGTGGAAATTTCCAGAGGCAGGTATAAATATGCAGGCAAGAATCAGTCTAGAGATAATGAGGTTAGTTCAATCAGGGAGGATGAGGCCCGCTTCCAGAACAGACTGTGAAGAGTTACAAAGGGATCTCATAAAACTGGGTGACTGGGCAACAAAATGGCAGATGAAATTCAATGTTGATAATGCAAAGTAATGCACATTGGAAAACATAATCCCAACTATACATATGAAATGATGGGGTCTAAATTAGCTGTTACCACTCAAGAAAGAGATGTTGAAGTCATTGTGGCTAGTTCTCTACAAACATCCACTCAATGTGCAGCAGCAGTCAAAAATGCTAAAAGAATGTTGGGAATCATTAGGGAAAGGGATAGATAGTAAGCCAGAAAATATATTACCTCTATATAAATCCATGGTATGCCCACATCTTGAATACTGTGTGCAGATCTGGTTCCCCCATATCTCAAAAAAAGATATATTGGAAAAGGTACAGAAAAGGCAACAAATTAATTAGGGGTATGGAACAGCTTCCATATGGGGAGAGATTAATGAGACTGGGACTTTTCTCATCTTGGAAAAGAGACGACTAAGGGGCGGATATGATAGAGGTCTATAAAATCATGACTGGTATGGAGAAAGTAAATAAGAAAGTGTTATTTACTCCTTCTCATAACCAAATGAAATTAACAGGCAGTAAGTTTAAAACAAACAAAAGGAAGTATTGCTTCATGCAACGCACAGTCAACCTGTGGAACTCTTTGCCAGAGGATGTTGTGAAGGCCAAGACTATAGCAGGGTTCAAAGAAGAACAAGTTACGTCCCTGGAGGATAGGTCCATCAATGGCTATTAGCCAGGATGGGCCGGGATGCAAAACCATGCTCTGAAGTGTCCCTAGCCTCTGTTTGCCAGATGCTGAGAATAGGCGACAGGCGATGGATCATTTGATGACTGCCTGTTCTGTTCATTCCCTCTGAAGTACCTGGCATTGGCCACTGTTGGAGGACAGGATACTGGGCTAGATGGACCATTGGTCTGACACGGTGTGGCTGTTCTTATGTTCAATGTAGTTTTCCCATAGGCTGATTTGTGCCTGGTTATTCGCATTAGTCTTTCTTTGTACAGTATTTTAACTCAATACAATGTGTTTTCTAAGTGCACATCATGCATGTTCAAGCTATTTTTTTAAACTACAGTCCACATCTAAAAGCAATAATGCAATTTGCCGAACACTGCAGGGAGAAATTAATCATACAACTTCAAATGTCCATGTAATTTGGATAATCGCGGCTAAATTTAAATCACTCCATTTCATGCACAGAAAACACGTTAGGTTTCAGAGTAGCAGCCGTGTTAGTCTGTATCCGCAAAAAGAACAGGAGTACTTGTGGCACCTTAGAGACTAACACATTTATTTGAGCATAAGCTTTCGTGGGCTCCAGCCCACTTCATCGGATGCATAGAATGGAACATATAGTAAGGAGATATATATATACACATACAGAGAACATGAAAAGGTGGGAGTTGCCCTACCAATTCTAAGAGGCTAATTAATTAAGATGAGCAATTATCAGCAGGAGAAAAAAAACTTTTGTTGTGATAATCAAGATGGCCCATTTCAGACAGTTTGACAAGAAGGTGTGAGGATACTTAACATGGGGAAATAGATTCAATGTGTGATTGCAGAGCCATTGGCCATTATCTTTGAAAACTCATGGCGATCGGGGGAGGTCCCGGATGTCTGGAAAAAGGCTAATGTAGTGCCCATCTTTAAAAAAAGAAGAACAGGAGTACTTGTGGCACCTTAGAGACTAACAAATTTATTAGAGCATAAGCTTCCGTGGACTACAGCCCACTTCTTCGGATCCACGAAAGCTTATGCTCTAATAAATTTGTTAGTCTCTAAGCTGCCACAAGTACTCCTGTTCTTCTTTTTGCGGATACAGACTAACACGGCTGCTACTCTGAAACCCATCTTTAAAAAAAGAAGAACAGGAGTACTTGTGGCACCTTAGAGACTAACAAATTTATTAGAGCATAAGCTTCCGTGGACTACAGCCCACTTCTTCGGATCCACGAAAGCTTATGCTCTAATAAATTTGTTAGTCTCTAAGGTGCCACAAGTACTCCTGTTCTTCTTTTTGCGGATACAGACTAACACGGCTGCTACTCTGAAACCCATCTTTAAAAAAAGAAGAACAGG